ATGCTGAATCTTAAAGAATATTAGGCTTACCTTTCTGACCCCTTATTAATAAAATGAAATAAGATACAATTATAAGGTTATACATCAAAGACAAAATAGTGTAATCGTATATTTTATAACGAATATTTGTTGATAAGCAAATTTCTTTCAACGTACTAAGCTATTGTAACAAACAGGATATTTTTAAATGAACTCGTAGATCGATAATACTTTTTATTACGTTTATTAGGATATGAACAATCGAATATTATAGATAAATCATAAATACTATGAAAGAAACAACGATATAAACATACGAAAGTTAGTTGCATTTTCATCTTCAATCTGAATTTCAAATAAACTTGATTTAAAGAAATGAAAATTTGCCTAACTAAATCCTTAATTTAACGTTAAAATTATTTTCAGCCCAAGAGGCAAATATATAGTTTATAGGAACGAAATTGTTAAAGAAACTTTTTAAATTTCTAGTTTTTAATAACGATAGAATTTTTTTTTTGACAATATCAAAAAGAAAATATATTTAAAGTCTTCCAAATATTCATATTCATTATGAAAAAGTTCGAATATCAGTTGGAGAGAAATTAATTTTTACGAGCGTTATTAAAATTCTAAAAAATTTAATAATGCTTTTCATAGCTGTAAAATAGGATGATTACAATCATATCTTAACATATATGTCCGTTAAATCTAATGCCCGTCGCTATTGGAATTTCGTTTACCATTACGCTCAATTATTTCGAAAAAATCGTCGCTCAACATTCGTAACAAATGTTTCTATATGAATTATTACTCCATTGATATTTTCTATAATTTTCGATCAGTATTTTTGTACCATATCATCTAGATTTAATTTCTTCAATTTATTACAGCAGCATTGTTTGAACAATCAGAAAAAAAAATTTCACTTTTCTATTTTAAAATCCTTTTTTTTTTTTTTTTTGTCAATAAATACATAAATATGAAACTTTGTCTCCTTAAATTTGGTAAAAATGTAGCTTTCGCAGAAAAACAAACGAATCAGGTAGAAACAGAGGTTATTAAAATTAGTATAGATCACACATACGTTACATTTTCCAACTTTTTCTTCGAGAACAATTGTATTTAATGTAGCTTATTTGCAGGGTAGTTGTAATTCTCGTTAAGTATACATATTATTACACTTAGAGAGAAAATTTGCCCTAATCTTCAAACACGCTTGCAAATGAATTTATATATACCATATAAACTTTTAATTAGCGTTACGTATTTCTAAAAAATTTAACATATAACAAATAGGCTCAAATTCGATACACTTTTTTTTAGATGTAAATCATAGAAACTATGCTAGGAAACATATAAGCGCAACGTGAATGTATCTTTTCATTTGCTATATTATACTCGCTGTCAACTTTTTTACCATATACAGTTAGAAAGAAACAATACATCTGCTTAGAAACATTACTATATTTGTAAAAAATTTCTTATAGATGACACATGTACAGAATCTTTTTATAGTTCTTATAAAATCAAGACCAGTGTTTGCAATAAATTACACACACTTCTCGTTTCGTACTTTTGATTATTTATTTTTAAACCACGACCATATAATAATACTTCAATGTTAGAGAAGATGCATTTGTCTGGCAAACACGTTAACTTCATCTTATCGCATAAGAGCTTGCAACATGTATAATCAATTTTGACATAAAAAGATTTGTAAAGTCAGAATCACGAAAAATAGCAAGAATCAATTTATTTTCGTCACAGGAATATCTTATTCCCTCGATACAACATACTTAGCTCACTAGATTATCTTGTATGCAAGTCCTGTTCCCTTTCTCTCCCTCTCTGTGTGTTTATGTGTGTGCGTTCGGGCGCGTGTGTTGAATATAGTTTTATACATATGTATTATAGTACAATGTGTATATAATATTGGATTCATTATAGCATCATTCTGTTGTAGTATAAGAAGCTGTAACGAAACTTTTGTGCTAATCCAATATTTTATACAAGAATAAATAAATTTGTATATGATCTGAAAATGGACGTGCAACACTTGATATCCATTTCCTGCTCTGCGCTTACATTATTAACTATTAAACTTCTCTGTCAAATATTTAATTAAAAACATATTTGTTTGCAACATATTGCTGCTTGATTCGTTAAATGCATGCATGTATTTTGTAATAATACTTGAGCAGGATGCACATATTCAAAATATAACTTAATCTTTGTCTATTAGCACAGCATTGTGATAAAAATGCATTAGATAAGCATATTTTATTAATAAAATCGTTTTATACCATGGTCAACATTATTGCCACATACCATAATGCTATATACTGCAATATGAAGAAATTACTTTCGGTGTAAAAACTTCGTCGATAAATCACTTCTTATGCGTAGAAACTTCTTCAACAGTTAAATTGTTGAATTGCTGTTTTTAATACGTCCAGCACAACAGCCAAAATATTCTTCCCTTTTTTTAAGAAACTTGCTCTTTATTACATAAGTTATTCATATTCATGAAGATATTTCTACGCAATATAATTAAGAGATCATTCTTTGTTTGAACATAAGTTCCCAGAACAACTAATACTGTGATTGATTGGTTACAATGTGTAAACTATTATGTTAAACTAGCTTGTTTGGTAACATATCATCTTAGTAAAAGAAAATAAATATAAGTCAATCAATAAAATTCTGCATAATACTTAAAAGTATAGGCCAATAAAATTATCCTTACAATCTTATATTATGTATTTTAAAATCTTTCAATGATAATTGTGAATATAATATTAAAATAAACGTTGAAATACAAATCACTTTTAATCTCTTATTTACTGTGTAATAATAAACAAGGAACAAAACCTGTTATTGTGTTAAATCAGTCTTAGTTCAGTCTTATATTGTGTGAATGTAACTAATATCTTATTTCAGTTCATTAACATCAAATTAAATCAAATGCGACAACACTTGCATCTTTTTTTAAAGACTGACACATTGGATTTTTACATATTGTATAAAACTCATATTTTATGTACAGCAAATGCCATTAGATGAAGTTTCGTATCAATTTTTATAACAATCTCATAATATAGATGAAGATAATTATAATAATAACAACAATGTTATTAGTCAGAATATTGATGCAAAAAAATGGTGAAAATGATAATGATAGTAGTAGAAGTAATAGTAGTAGTAGCAGCAATAATAATAATACTACTTCTAATAATAATAATAATAATGGCCATAAACATAATAATAATAAGTTTTGCTCATTTACACATACTCACATCAGAAGACATTAATGCAAATTGAAAGAATGTCTTTGAAGTATGATATGTTAAAAATACTACAACATTGATTTTGTATTTGATCAATAAAGTGCTGTATCATCAAAATTTTAAGACGACCTTAACACTCTTGCTAGTTAGTAATTCTCCTCCTTTTCTTTCTGCATATATTCATTAGCTCTCCCTTCTTTCTCGAGTCTTTCCATTTGAATATTCCTATATCCTATTAGCGTCTTTCGCATTCCTTCTCAAGTACATACACTCATAAAAACAAATTCTTAATCGCAACGATCATGCACACATAGGTATGTTCTAATGTCGGATTGCATTTTAGTCTCCTTTCATACTTAGCAGGAGACAATATCATTAACTTATACAAATAGTTAAACATTTTTACGACGCTGGTCACAATAGTATTGTATACTGTTATTTTTTAATTAGCCGTTGTTCGGTCACACAACGATTAAAGTATTTTTTTATATACATATAAAAGAGAAAAATTATAGCTTCATATCGTATATAAAAAAAATTCGTACAAAATAACTAGCTGCTCCGATATTAGGAAATTTTTTAAATAAAGTAATACAAGCTAAGGATGAAACAGAATTAAGGTGAATATGGTATCTGCTTTGCTAAATATCCTCTTCACAAAATAGTTAATCAAACAAAGAAGACAATCGTGTATTTATTAAAATAGGTAACTATATTTTTCTATATTTAGCTCTCTCCCTATCTGATACTTGTATTGCATTACTCTTAAATTTCCAATTCTAATGAGTATTTCAATCAAATGCTGATATAAATAGCATCACTCACTCGATAATGCTTTCAATATTATTTTGTTCTTTTAATCGTAGTCGTTGTTCAGCAAAAATAATTTAAAAAACATGGCCACCGTTTTCGTATTAAAAATAACATAGATCGTAATTTAAACCTCCCCAAGAAAATATCTTTACTTTTTAATCCTCAGCTATATAATTTAACACTACCTTATGACATATTCAATACTGGAACAAATTACCCCAATTTTTCGTCTCTCTTTTATTACGCTATTAATACTAACATCCTTCGTTTTCTCCACCCGCCATCGTCCACGAATTTACAGACAACGGATAACTACGTATGAATAATGCGAAAATAACGTTTCTCTTTTGATGGGAACATTTATAACGATATGACTTCAGAACAAAAAGTTCATTTCTTTCTTTTTGTACTTGGTTGCTTGGCACTCAAAGTGAGAAAACCCGAAGCTTCGAAAGGAACCTATACGGATTTCCATATTATATACAATCAGTAGGAAAATATTGCCTCTAACACTTGTTATCTGTGGGCCTTAAGCGTCACACGCTTATTTCTAAAATCGAGGAAAAACAGTAACGTCGTGTCCACAATCACTGTCGAGCATTTCTTCTTTTTTTTCTTTTTCGTTTTTACGTGTATAAAATCTTACTCTTACTTGTTCTTCCTATTTCTCGCTCATAAATCCAACTAATTCCAATCCGTTTAAATAAGAAGAACTCGATTATTACCAAAGTCTACAACCGCAATTCTACCATCAGGACACAAAGCTATTCCGGACGGTCTGTCCATTTCGTCTTCCCCTTTTCCACAGCTACCAAATCGCCATTTCAACACACCGGTCGAATCGAATATTTGTACCCGGTGGTTTTTAGAATCGGCTATAACAATATTACCTTCGTCGTCGATTACCAGACCTTGTGGTCTCAGGAACTGCTTCGAACCACCTGCACACTCGCATTCGAAAATACGGGTGTGCATGAAGTCAGCGTCTATGATCACTACCCTGTGATTGTTGAAATCCGTTGTGACTACATTGCCGTCCGGATTGAACGCCACTCCGCGCGGCGAATCAAAATACTTCCACATGTGCGGTGCAGACTCGTAACCGTACTTTCGGAGGAAAACACCCTCAGGACTGAACAATTGGACGCGATGATTTCTCGTATCGGAAACGACTATTTGGCATTCAGAGTTCACTGCCACATCCCATGGATAGTTGAATTGCCCACAGCGACAGCCTTTCTCACCGAAACTTAGAAGGAATAAACCTTCCATCGTCAATACCTAAGAAATAATGTAAAAAATAATGACAATTTTCAACAATAATAATAATAATAAGCATCTATCAATAATGATTTGAACTTAGAAATTAGTATTGCTAGAGATTGAAATTAAGTGAAAAATTTAAGTATCAAAACTTTTGCAGTCGTTTGATATTCTAGATGCTGCGGTGAAGTCAATTGCAACAACTTAAAATCCATTTGATTACCTGTATACGATGATTATCCTTGTCAGCTACAACTATACGGCGGCGAGCATCGACTGCTACGCCAGCCGGGCGATCGAATTGTCCTGGTGCAGTGCCATGAGTACCAAACCTTCTCAGGAAGGAACCATCTTGTCGATATATTTGTATACGATTGTTCGATCTATCTGCGACAACTATGTGCCCCTCTCTGTCGCATGCTACCCCCCAAGGTCGACAAAGATTATCTTGCGCGTCACCATCGTTTCCAATGATTTTCAGTGGTTTCACCGACAAATCGGAACTGCGATTTATCCTAACCGTAACTGGGAAACTATTCGAAGGAACTGGTCTTCCTCGTGGTACTGAGACCAATGGGATCGAGGCCGTCTGTCTGAGGAATATCTGAGGTGAATTTCCACGGCCTCTCACAGCTCGTCGATCACCTATAGGACCCGGATTATTCACCACAACGACTCCAAGGTTCGCTATAGCATTTAATATAGTGTCTTCCAAGCCGTTGAAAGAAATCCAGTTCTCTTCTTGTGAAGGAAGAGATTGACGACTCTGGCGAATTTGAAAAACCTATTGATGAAAATAACATGTAGCCGGATAAAAACTAAGGAGTAACATTTCTTACTATGTTTTAAAATAAAATTGACTTTCAAGATATCCTCCATGGTATACTATTTATATAGAAGTTAGTTTTCTTTATATTATTTTTTTTTTTACAGG